ACGGTGATAAAAGCTCATTGTCTAAAACTTACGAAACACAGACGTATTCAGAAAGAGTATTGACAGAGGTCGCCGCCAGAACAAAAGCAGTTTCATTGCCTGTCTGACATCTTATCACCGCTGAACAATAAATAGGTGTGAATATTTTTAGGCATGTTGTCGAAACAAAGAATAGGATTAGGAACAATGCCGTTTTGGAACAGCTGGTTGAAACAATGAAGTTAGTCACGGTCTTGTTGAATTGGGGGTGCGGTTAGTAATAGGTACTTTTCAAGTTTTCAATTTTTGTTAAGAACTCTTTAACCCCGAAGCCGGAATTGGGGGTGCGGTTACTATTACGTATGCGGTTTATATTAGGACTTTAACGGTAATCTGTGGCAATAACGTCATAAAATTTGCTAGTATTGACAATGCTATAATATAATAAGGTTTAAAATGTATTATGACGTACCTTTCTCCAGGTTTACCAATCCACAATGGTAATGTAAGCGCCGACTGTTGCAACATTGTCATCAACACGCCTCTACGCATTGTCTTTCGTGGCGCTTCTTCACTATAACCAACAGACCTGGCTGCTATTCTTCTATCGTTTCTCACTGTCTTAATCTGTGATATTTTATCGAGGCATTTCCGAAGCATGCTGGGGAATGAAAGTAAAATTGGATGATGACGCAAATGAACATTTTTAGAAGAAGAAGATGAAATGTAAAGAACAATTTTTTTTCAGTCGCTTTTTCAGCAATACATTTTTAAACTTTCAGTGTTAAGGTAGAGATGCAGTTTAATTGTGAATCTCAATCAAAAATAGTTTTTTTCGTTTTTTATATAGATTTTTATCTAAAGAACATTCTGTGAAAATTTGACCAATGAATTGTTATTGGAACACCGTTAAAATTGCTGTTTATTTTCTGGTTAAAAATAAAAAACACTCACACGTGGCAATGTTTATGTCCAATTGCCTAATTTGCATGAGTAACCAAATAACAGGACCTTTGATTGACAATATGCAAATCGAGATTGTACGGGTCATAGTTCATTCAATTCACGCGCATGTGCAATTATTCTCAAATCAGTTC